ACATATACATACATACATATGTAAACATACGGATGTATACATATATATATATATACATATCTCCATATTTATAAAACATGTTCTTGTAGCGTGACCAATTATCATTCATTAGTTAATGAAAGGGTGAAGATGTCAGTGGTCATGCTTTGCACCCATAACAAAATTGCTTACGGATGTTTCAAGATTGAGTTTGATTCATTGATACACTACAATTAATCTTTTTGTTTACCTTAATAGGGGAAATGTGGAAATACTCATAGAGGCTGATGGGAGTGGTGTCAGCAGCAGCCACATCGTTCAGATCTGTCTTGATGTACTCGATGTCCTTCTCAAACAGCTCCACCTGCAGGTATAAAATGGAAACTCAAACTGTACCATATGGTACTGTGCCAGGACTGATTGTTTCCACTTTCTGCTCCTTGGCTGTGGCACAGGTGTGTGCAACTGACCTCCTGTTCTGAGGTCATCAGACCGGTTTCCAGGACGGTGCTGGGGTTCAGGTCCAGAAGGGCATAAAGAAAACCCAGATCGATCTTCAAATTCATTTCCTGAATCAAGACCTTGAAATATCTTATATAGAGAGACATTTGTATCAGGTCATACTGCAGAAACAGCTGTTCAGACAACAAACTACATCACGACATCTGTGTGAAGTCAGCTAAGCTAAACTGGAAATCATAAGCCAACTGAGGCAGGTGAGAAATTAAGCAGAAAATAAAGAGACATTTTTATCTATCTATCTATTATTATTACTGACATAGCTTATATTACGAACTACATGTGAATACCAACTATAAAGTTGCATTTATTTATCACATTTTTATTTCACAAGAGTTCAAAAAATGGCTTATAGTCTGTAAAAATATAGGTTTTTCTTGTTGTGAAAAGTAAAACAGATAAAGATAAAAAATGTACAACATGAGGAGACGTGTAAAATTTCAGTGCAAGAAGATTTACTTTATGCGAGAGATATCAGAGTGTCCTGCTGTTCTGGTAACAATGCTGATGTCAGTCAGAGGTTTTGGTTCTGCAAGGACATGATAAATACAACTATGTTGTCCAAAACATATCAAATAAAATTTAAAGTTGATTATAATTTTCTATAAAATGTGAATTTTATCAGACCTGAGTCCATAGTTATGGACTTTGGCAGTTTCACAGGGTAAAAGACAAAAGGGAAGATGGCTCCCGGCAGCTGATTCTGAATCTGCAGGAGGAAAAGATTCACAGATGTATGGATCAGAGTTCATCATGTGGTTATGACAGAAAAGTAGTGGCAGCTGTGAATATGTTTCAAGGCACAAGTAATTCAAAAAAAAAAAATGTACATAAAAATGCAAAAAAATGCAGCTAAAGTGGCGCGGTGGTAGAATATTTTGGATTAGATTACACAGGCAGACTATAAGTCTACAAACCCAAAAGAACATTTGTAGAATGTTTGAGAAAAGAAAAGAAATGTTGACAAAAAAAGAAAAAGAAGAACATTGTTCTGGAGACTTTATTTAAAATTGTCTATCAACGAACAAACTGTATGGTATTTAATAAACAATTCCTAGCTGGGGTTTTAATTTGTGAAAAGGTGCCTAACTTAAAATAAATTCCAATTCCTAACAGTTACATTTTATAAAATGCTTGGCAAAGGTAGTAATAAGTGCATAAAGCTGTAAAGTTGTAAGTGGTGTTCTTTTAGAAAGACTGAACTGACGTTAGAATGACATAAGAGATCTTCTGTTCACCTGTATGCGATGGATCTGAACTCTGTAGGCCTTCTGTCGTTGTGAGACATTGTACTCCACCTTCACACCAGGCAGAAAGTGTCTCCTAAGAGGAGCATGACACGGCTGCAGCATCCGCATGTCAGTGCCATTAGGAGTAAACAACACCTGAGAGACAGTCACAACCAAAACATAAGCTTTAGCTCCTCAACCTGGAAATGAAGTATTCTTTATAGTCAGTCACTACAGGAGGCATAAATGTTTACAGCTTTTTCAATTTCCCTTTTATACAGGTTACTAGAAATTAAATAAAATATTTTTTTCATAATTTGCTTGTACTGTAACAATAACCCATTTGTTTATATTACATTCTAATGACTATAATGAATAATAGGGAAGTATAATAACCTGAATATTGTTTTCCAGATCAAAGATGCCATTATCTATTGGTGCTGATTCAATGTATTCCTTAAAACTGTTCTCCAGAAGTTCTGCTTCTTTAGTAGTCAGGGTTTTCCACCGATTCTTCTTCTTTGGCTTTACTTCCCATACCACATCAGAGCTGTTAATACAAAAAAATAACTGATGCATGGGTTACAGTTGAATCTGTTTGTTTTTGTTTTTATTTTGTCTTTTAATGTCTATAAAGATATAAAAGCAAAAAACAAAATAAAAAGGCAACATTAGTTGTGTCTCTGTAATTTCAAAATCAGCTTAACAGTATCACCTTTTTACCAAATCTACTAGCAGTTTGCTAATTGTAGTTCCTTGAACAATGTGTATATATTGTGTATATACTGTATGTGTATGTGGTAATTCACCTCGTGATCCCGATAAAGGCGACTTCTTGGCTGCTGTTGTTGTTGACCAGAGAAATTCCCATGTTCTTCAGAGACAGGATGATTTCCTGTTCAGCCAGCTGAGCCTTCTCACTCTCACAGAGTAGCTTGTAAACAGGCTGATCTTCAGTGAACAGCACCACACGCTGAAGGCCTTCACACCAACAACAAATCCAGACCATTGTCTCTTTACAATTGTTAATGGACACAAGTAGCGGCAACCGCACCAATTTTGCATAGGTGTTCTTGGCAGTTGTAGTGTTGCATCCAGTAAATTAAAAATGTGGTACATTTCAAATTATGTTCTATTCTGTTCTATTTCAGATATTCTTCTTGTTCTTACCTTCATAAAAGGACATGACGAAGAGTTTTCCTTCACCTTTCATGTCATCGTGTAAGTCCTACAGGTGCAAAAGTGAAGGTTGTCTCATATTAGTAAACATCTTAAAGCATCGTTATATATTATAAAGTTTGGGAATAACAAAAGATTACAATTTTTAATCTTAATAATAGTTGTATTAGCCGTGGATTAATCATGACTTGTGATTAATCACAATTGCAATTAATCACAATTGAGATAAAATAACATTCCTAAATATGACCAAAAAAATATTTTTCAGTTTACTGCTGGAACAAAAAGAAAATTAAGTTGTGCCTGTCATTTTGTCAGCTGATGACTAACCTAGTGTTAATCGTAAATTAGGACAACCCAATTAAAATTGGTAGCATCTGTAATGTTACCCAGAGCCTGAACTGATTACACTTCATTTGGGAAGTGGTTTGACATGTAAAAAAGAAAAAGGTTAAGGTAGGCCTTGTGAGTATTATGATCTATTACCTCCTCATTCTTCAGCACCCCACTATAGGAGCCACACTTCCAGCAAAGCTCTCTGGACCCTGTGGGTTCAGCCCAGGTGTAGTGCACAGCTTTCCCAGGTTCCAGCTCCTGCTGTTCTGTTACTTTCTGGGAACTGCATGAAAATGAAACCCCAGGCATATACATGTCTTGTTAATATCATCAACATTACTGTAAAACTTAAGTGTAAGTAAACTCATTTGGAATGGGGAAATAATAAGAATCAGACCATGAAAACAGAGTAACAGTAAAACAGAGGACAATACTATAACCCAACCACCAGCACTCTACAGTCCGAAGTACCTGTTTGACAGCGCACACAAACATTTCTTACCAACAGACAGTAATGAAACTCTACAATGGATAAATTCCCACACGTCCCCAATACTTCTCCTGAAGCCACAGGGTTTGATTATGAATGTTCACATATTTTCATTTTCCAATCAATTGAGAAAAAGCGGATGCAGGGACATGGAATAAAGCAAGAGAGCCATTATCTACTAATGGAGATGAAAAATAAGAGAACGACAGGAAGAAGCGGCAGGTGTGATTCCTTGAGCAGAATCCCATCCAGCCAGAAACATTCAAAACTAACTCAAGATGAAAACAAATTGTAAGAGACGAAGAGAACATAGTAACAAATGTGTTTAAACATCCGACCTGCTCCTTTCTCCCTTCATCAGTTTAGGTCAATGTTTTTTTTAATCAGTTTTTTTTTATTTGTACTTGATCAAATAAAGGATAAAGAACAGAAATGTGCATGTACTAGAGTCAGAGTTTATCATGAACAAAATGTAACACAATGATGTTACAGTAAAAAGTACTGTATACAAGTTCTTTAGGATTGGTAAGGAGCAGATTGGATGATTTAGTTGCAGCAGAAGCAGATGCTGCTGCTCGTTTTTACCTCTTGATCTGACATCACTCTGCACTCAAGAGACTAGGACATTGTCACATGATGACTGATTAATGCACAGATGCATTGTGTCCCTGTTATGCCAAGTAATATAACCACCCAATGCTGCATTCTTCCTCTAGATGTCATCCTTTGGCATTATCAGTATTTCACAGAATAGCTAGCTTTTATGATTAAACGTTGATCTACTAAAATCTGTAAATTAAAATTTAACAACAAGCCTCATTTGAAGGCATTGGGTGAAACTCGCTCTTAGTCTCTCGCTTGAAGTTAGAGCGTGTCAGAAGAGTTTCCTCTTTTCATATATTTCTACCTGTCCTCCTCCACTGAGAAGGAGAGGTCGAGTAGCTCTTCAGCCACCCAGGTTGGTTCTGTCCGGTTGCTGCGTGACCCACAACACACAAAAACACAAATGGCTATCAGCAAAGACAAATACTCTTGGTTTTTAAACAAGTACAGTATACAAGAAATTTGCCTTTCCAACAGAGGGTGCTATAAAATCAGTTTTAATGTTTCAGATAGATGTCTTCCTGTGACTCACAGATCAGGCCAGGGTAACACAGAGTGTACTGGTTATTTTATCTGTACATTCCAAAAAACAAAGAGCATCAACATTACTGAGAATTTAAGTAGGAGGCAATTTCTGCATACGGTACCTTAAACAATACAGGAAGCTACAAAAGAGCAACAAAGTCGATACTTGAGCAATATACAGTAGGTTTCACTGAAATGCAAACAACAAAGTAGACATTAAAATTTTAGAATTTTTTTTTATAAAAGGATGATGATCAATCCTCATTCAGAGACAGATAAACAGAAAATGTTAAATAAAGTGATTAAATATCACATGATGCACATAGAGCACAGTGGATGATGTCTTCATGAACTTATCTGATGTGACAGACAACAAGTGTGAAGTGGAACAAATTTACAGCACAATCTAATTTACACTCAAGACACTTTGACAGAACTTTCACACACATTAAACATTTTGTAAAACATCTACAGAATGAGTGCAACATTTAGTGCATACTTACTTAATCTTAACCTTAAATTACTTGAATTTGCAAGACATAGACAGTGACAATGGGATGTGTTTGATAAGAGATGAGGGGAATAGCATGCAGCAATGGTCCAGCATGGTGGGACTTAGACTGGTTGTGAAACAGACAATTGGTCCCTAATCCTTGGGTGTTGACTCCCTTCTATTGTTTTCAGTATATGCTTATTTGCAAACAGCCTTAAACAAAAGAACAAAATAATACAAATTTAAACGTGTTTTCTCTTACCTCTGATGAATTTGAAGAGTCTGGTCTTTGGTGTGGTTGATGATGAGGAAAGGAGCTGCTCCATCGTGGTACTCTGAGAAACGAATAGTGGCTGAGTGTTCTGACAAGTTTACATCCACAATGATCCCGCCCACCTGCACAAGTGGAGACATATGCATGTTTCTTTATTTTGTTTTAATAAAATCTGTAGATTTGAACAAGAACAGAACAAAATTATGATTTTTGAAACAGTCATTTTCCATTTATTACATGCCCACCAATAAACTTACAGAGCTGTCCATACGCAGCAGCAGACAGTTCTCGGGTTGGGTGAACTTAATGGTCTGAGGAGGTGATAAACAACCATCTACTTTGATCTTCAGCCTCTTTGTGTCCGTCTCTGGCCAGAAAGGTATGGATGACTAAATGTTGTACGAAAGATATTTACGAGAAATAAAATCAGAATGGTTTGTTTGGAGACATATTCCAGGATTTCGACAGATTATTAAAACATCTAAAATTACTTAAACATTTACACTGTTCAATACATCGAAACTGGCACCTAAAGGAGTAGTTAGACCCTCCAGAGTATGTGATTAATAAGTTTATGTACCAAAACACTGACAAAGTCAACTTGCAATAATATGTCCCCAGTCATATCAAAGGAGAGTACAACGTTTTCTTAGGAAAATAGTCTCTGATCAAAAACTGGTCAAATAAAAAATCAGTCAATTAAAAATATGTAATTGATTCTTTGTCTACAGAAATATGTCTTGGTTTGGTTCTGACCTGTTCTGGCTTTGCCTTGGTCCAGTTGTCTTGGCCCTCTTCACAGATGTAGACATTGTGCTTTGTTCTATTGACCAGCATGTAAAAGGGCACAAAGGTCACGATGCGGGTGAGGCTGAAACTGCTTTTATCAATCTTCACACCAACCTAAGGTGAGGAAAACAAAGACATTTGGTTTTTTGGGATTTGTTTTTGTAAGATACATACATTTTGTTGTAATATCTTACCAGGTAATCCCTGTATCTGCCTTTACATTTCACCTCTCCATGACTACCAACTGTATCCAAGGAAAACTCATCAGAAGAGTCACTGTCTGAAATCATGAGGCGAACCTGATGGAGGGGAAAAATGAGGCATGCAGAGTAGAAAAAGTAATATGTACTGTATGAAATGAACGGAACAGTTTATCTGAACATAGATCAGTGTAGGATGAGATAAAGGGTGACAGAGGCAACATATTCCTTAACCAGGCTTTATCACCTTACCTTATTGTTTTTAAGGAAGAAGCGAGGCTTGAATGAGAAGAGCAGCGGCATATCGTAGTCCAGCGGGTGTTTACGGTGGATGTCATCAGCAATGTACTGCAGTAATCTGCCTGTCTTATTCACCATCCAATAGGGGCAGTGGATGGAAATCTCCATCTGTCTCAGGTCATATTTGACATGTATGGCTATGTCCAACTCTGCCTTTGTCCTGTCTGCATCCTCACCATCATTTTCGTCAGCCTCCCGTAGAGACTGGAACATGATGAAGGTGATTTCGTCCTGTTCACCCAGCAGACTGAGGAGCATAAACATTCACATAATGACAAATGTGATGATAAATTGTGGAGCTACTGAGGAAATGTTCTTTGTGAAGAAGGTCAGCCATAAACCAGCTCAGGCAGAGTGTAGTCAGACCTGTACTCAGAAGACCAGTCTTGGGCCAAATAGTTCAGTAGCCGTAGACACAGTTTTGACTGGTTGATGACTGCGGTGTGAAGCTGAGCAGAGTGACCTGGGTCCAGAGTAGTTTCAGGGGTAGAGGCTTCACTGTTCTGTTGGGTACCAGTAATTACATCATTAATTAAGTCAACACTTTATTTTATCCATCCATCCTTCCATCCATGCATCCACCCATTTTCATCCGCTTATCCGTTACCGGGTCGCGGGGGCAGCAGTCGCCACCCAAATCACATTGCACCGTACCAAACCTTCCTGCGGGTGGTGAGTCCACTGGAAGGTACCAACCGCCCTAACCGGGACTTGAACTTGCCCAGGAGGTGAACCCTGGGGTTCCACACCAATGACAGAGACATTGCCTCTGGGCCAAAGCGCCACGCAGTGAGACACTTTATGGAAGATTAAAGATGGGTCCAAGGAGATTTCTTCTTGGTTGTTTTGCTCTTACCTTGAGCTCATATGTGATGGAGTAGGGCAGCAAGTTGCGCAGCAGAATGAAGGGCCAAAGGTGGAGCACAAGAGGCATGTCAAAATTCTCCCCAATACCTCCGGTGTCATTGAAGGTCACAGTATCTTTCAATGGTACAATGTTTATCATGATCCTGTCAAGTTGGTTTCCACGATGAAGGCATGTCTGCTGGAGGTGCACCTCCTGATGCTGGTTACAGACATCTTCATAACTGAAGCCCTCTGAGCACTCAAACAGTGGAACCTGATTATCAGCGTCGTCCTTGGTTATCGGCTGGAGGCTAAGTTCAGACCTACAGACGGCAGTAAAGAGTTGATAATTGTGCAGTGTAACAAGATGCATAAGTGGAAGAAAAGAGACAAGGTATGGATAGATAGTAACAGGGGATTTTATCTGAAGCAGTAAAGTAATAGGAAAAAAGGTGGATGAGAGGTGAAACCTCTACTAGTAACCAAGCCAATCCAGTGGCCTATCACTTTACTGCTTCACAGTGTTTAGTGTTTAAGTGTATTCAGCCTTACCTGTATGAATCCAGTGGTACACAGTACTCCTCATTTGGCAGAGCAGTACCCAGACACTCTGATCCTTCAAAAACTTTGAATGGTATCGTGAAGTGATTGATGATCTGCACATGAGACAAATAGTTAATATGTTGTGGTTTTGTTCAAGATAAAAAAAAAACATTGTCATCGTATCAGTGCAGACATAAGTTTTTGTTATTTAAGTAATTTTACTGTAGCCAAGAAAAAGGTCTGTGAGATAATAAAATGCAGCCAATTTTTAAAATATTTACAATGTTTACAAATGTATTTAAAACAAATGACAGGGCATCACCTAAAACAGTTTCAACAATGCAACTCCAGAAATCTGGTTATTGTACATACCTGAAAAGGCGAGCGGATCTTTATATACTTGCTGCCATCCACAGAGTAAATTTGACAGACTAGAAAGCGAATTACTCCAGACTCTGTGTGAGTTACACTGTACATGCCTCTGCCCACTTTGATTAGTGGTATCACAGAGGCTGAGGTGTGTCCATCTGGAGCTGGAGACAGAAGAGAAACATCAATTAAAGAGACAACTATCTGTCTACCATCTTTAGAATGTTTTTTAAGGTCAACTTACTTGGCTGTATGTAGTAGTCCTTTTCACTCAAGGAGATCATGGCTGAGAAATGGTCATCTGTTGTGGTAGAATAGTCCATCCCCAGAGTTTCACCATCCTGAAGATTCACCATGCAGTTTGTGCTCTCTCGCAAGATGGGACAAAACATGCGGCTGTGATGGACAGAGAGGGGCAGACCCAGGCAGTTCTTCACCAAAAATGGTGATTTATCTTTCTGGAAGCTCTCAGACGTCTGTTTTGCAGCCTCTGCAAATGCCTGAAGAAAGACATGTAAAAGAGCAAGTAAATCAATAGATCATGAAAGTCTTTAAACTCTGTTCAAACGAGCCATTTTCTTACCGTTCCAAGGTTACTGAGCATTGTCAGTCCACACTTGGAGAGCGTGATGTTGAGCTGGTCTTTACTGATGACAGTGATAACGGTCTTATAGTCTGGGACGTTGTAATCCACTTCATCTGAAAGACTTGTGGGCTGCACCTGCTTCTTTTTCATCTGGTTATTGGGCAGTAAAAACAATACAAAAATAAGAAACACTGTGGTTTGTGTGAGTACAAATGTGTGTTTTTTCTATGTGTATACATATGTGTGTGTATGTATATATATATATACACATTACATACCTTGAGTTCAAGTTTCCATGGTTTAAATCCATCTCTAGTTTCATCCTCTAAAGGCTCCAGCAGTGGTTCCCAAATTCCCATCACCTCATTGAAATAGTGAACCTAATGGGAACATGGCATATACAATACAACTTGTATCAAGAATCTGCTGCAGTGTTAAAATACACATGTCAAAGTCAAGGAGTCTTTGTTCTATACAGCTCTCTCTTTTAGTGTGTGTGTATTTTACCTCCATGTCCAGCTCACTCCGTAGGTTAATGAGTGTGGACCAGTTTTTAACATTTCCATGGAATGAAGACTTGGCCAAAAGCATGGGGACAGTATGATGTCCTACACCAGCTTCCAGTGTAATGCAGATTGTTTTGATTGACAACTGCAGGGATATGAAATAAACATAAAAACACAGCAACTAGTCTTACTAATCATACAAACATAACTCTAACTTTGTGTATGGACAAGTTTATCTGTGACATTTTTAATAAAACAGTGAGCATCATCAATTTAAAATAACATAAACCATAAGGTGCTGTTTTATACCTGCAGTGATTCTCCCTGTGGTATCAGTGGGGTTAGAGATCGTGTGTCTTCATCCCCCTCTTCTTCTAAAAACCAGAATTTTAACAGTTTCCAGTCCCTCTTTTCCCACAGGTCAACAGGTACAGGACTCTCCAACTCTTCAGGAGTTTCTGCTGTTGGTGTCAGAGCTGATTGGATGGTGATGACTGTGTTGATAATGATGGGAGAAACCTGCATAATGGAAATGGAAGACATCACAACCAATTTTTTTTTATTTTAAAGGACCTAAATACCACATGTCATAGGTTTAAAGAGTGTCTGGTAATAGTTATAGTACTGCAATAGTACTGTTTACTCACCTTCAGTGTAAGAGCACTTATGGACACCTCCATAGCCTGAGGACAACTCGGGGACTCACTACTTTTAAAAGACACCTGGCACGGCTGCAGCACTGTGGTCACATCAGTTTTCCTCATCTCTCTCAAGAAGGGACACGCAACAACCTATAACCAGTAGGCCAATGTAGAAAGTAGCAATCAAAACCTTTGAATAGTGAGGAAATGTGTTCATAAATACAGGAAAGACATCAAACCAAATTATTGACTTGATATTGATAAAGCAAGTATAAAGAGTAATGCTGCCAAAGTTAAAGCATTAATAAGAAGAGTAAAGTCAAATGACTTATAACTTTTTTCTTTCACCCGCACAATTGATTCCTACTAAGATTTGACATCAGGGCCAATGTTAATGAGAACAAAGTGAATGAACTAAGTAAACACCACAACAACCTCAAAACAAATTGTTCTTTTATTCCACACTATATAGTCTTCATATTTTTCATCTAAATTACGATCAAAAACTAAACGTATTAAAAACTTCATTAAAAACAAAAACAGTTATAAGAGTACATTAAGAACTGAGGAAAATGGTCTATTGTACTAGTTAACTGTTTATATTGTTAAATTGTGCCAATCATTTTTTTTATTATTAAAAATCCTAAAAGACACAATTTTATTGTATTTTTGTACCACATTGTATTTTTACCACATTGTACTCACTCATTCCAACAAAACCATAAATATCTTACACTACTACCTAAAGCTGTCACTTTAAATTCTACCTGTTGCTGGCACAGAAGAATGAATCAAACCATTTTAGTAGATGCCTCTGTTACTGTTACAAGACAAACCTTTAGGTCTTTGATAGCAGCAGTCATTTTTGAGCCCTCTACACTGGTTTTCATTGTTAATTCACAGTCTGTGGTCATCACCAAAGCGGGGGCGTCTGCCCGTGTCAGGTCGGCCACAAACACAATCTCCGGATTTCTCACAACAACATAAATCTCACTCTTTGTTGCTGAGGGAGGAGCTGCAGCAGAGAATGACAGAACAAAGGCAGGTTAGGTGAATACGTGAACATCATGATTATTTAAATCCATCTTATTTCAGTTCATAATCTTAGTATGAAACAAATGAGTCCAATCAAAACTTGACCAACTCGCCACAAACAGATGTGCTCACTCTGCCAAAACTTAAATATCTTTGAAGTTATGTATTTTTTACGTTCATCAATTACAAATGTTCCTGCTAACTTACTGGGCTCTTTAGATTTGACAGAGGAGGTCTTCTTTTCTACTGATCCAGCAAGGCTTTTTTGTTGTGGTTTCTGACTGAATGCCTTCTGACTGGCCTCTAGAAAGATATCTGCCACAGTAAGCAGGAATTCCATGCTGGCACATAAGTATAAGTCCTGCACAGTTGTTTCCAACACGGTGCCTTCTCGACCTTGACGAAAGTTCACTTCCACCATCATGATCTGCTCTGCACCAGGACGCATGGCCACCATCCTAAAAATATCAAAATCTGTTTATTGACAATTAAAAAAAAGAAAAAAACTTTTTTTAACAGTACTAACTTTGTGAAGTAAAATTATTATTTTGACATCTAAACTAAATCACTTACTGTTAAAAATAAGCTCAATAGTATTAGTCAGACAAAAATTTATGATTGATGTGTCATTTTAGGAGAATGGGTTATCTGCTCCAAACATTATGCTATACAGAGACTGGTCTATGACATACCTTGGTGTGACCATCTTGACATTGGGCCTCTTGTCATCAAGAAGGCAGGTAGCCAGTTGGACCGAGGCTCTCATGCAGCCAGTGGAGAACATGTGGATGGAGACAGAGATGGAGCTCAGGGTGAACTCTGCCAGCTTCAGCTCATCATCATGCGAGTCCAGCAGTTCAAGCTAGAAAAAACACGACACATATGTGTCACACAGGCATGTCCTGTACTAATTACATCAGATAAGTTCAGCCTTTAGAGTTACCTCATCATCATTTGGGCTGTACATGATCAGGGTCATTGAATCAAACTTGAAGTCTAATTTGAGTGTACTCTTCACCATGACATTCTGCTGGGTCTCAACGACAGCTGCTGTCACTACTGTATTTTCTACAGGACAGAGAACAATAGGTGAAACACTCCTATGTAATCTGCTTGACAGACATGAACCAGAACATTAGAAACTGAAACGTTATGGCGTAAAACCATTTTGATCTTCTTACTAAATGACTTGACTCACATGCTCCAACATTAACACAACAAAACCACAACTTCTTACTGTTTGTTGTTCCGTTCTGTTCGGATGGCTGTGATTCTTTGCCAGATGCCGAGTCAAAAATAGGCTCAGAGCTGCTTTGGTTTGAGTCATCAACAGACTTCTCTGACATGTTCTCACTCCAAGTCCTTAGAACAACTACCAAGTCTTCCTCACAGAGATTCAACTATTGAGAGACAAAGATTTTAAGAGTGATCTTATAAACTTATATAAAGTACAATTAAACAGTGTTTCCTACTGTGAATGAGAAGGCAGTGAAAACTGTTAGATTTTATTTACATTTTATTTACAGACAGACTGTCTGTTTAAAAATAGATAGATAGAACAATTAAATATCTGTCCTTGTCAAACCACCATACCCAGAAACTTACAGTCATAGGCTTTAGGTGAGCTGAGATCTCTATGTCAGGTATGCTGTGGTACCAGTTAGATGAAAGGTTTCTCATAATCTTCAAGTCCAGGTTAACAGGCATCAACAGCTGAATCTCCCCCTGAAACTTTTGTTTGTTCTTCAAATATGTGGTCCTGGGAGCAGTGACAACACAACACTCAAAACTTGCACTTATTAGGAAAAATATCTCAATTCTATTAATTTTGTCACTCTTAAGTACACAGAAATAAGAGAACTCTAACCTGTACATCTTCAGGTCCGTCAGTTTCACTGTCATAATATCCACCACAGGAGGAATTCCAGCATTGCTTTGAAAGGGCTGCTTAGAGAAGCAATTCTTGACAGAGAGCTGACCAAGATCAGCCACAATGACATTGGTAGATGACGACGACTGAGGGACGAAGATAACGGGGGCATTGAAGTGGACTTTGAGGGCAATTCGGGTGCTTCGCTCTGCCAGCTCCTTCACACCTGTTGCTGCTTTTTCTGCAGCTTGGACCGTCACCTCAGCCAAGGCCTCTTTGGCCATTTGGAAATTATCGATGAACGCCTTGGATCAAGGAAGAATGAATGCAAGCAGTGTAGGAAATTGGAAAAAGGTAAAACAAATATGGAAATGTTAAGGGAACTGTTAAATACCAAATATGACTGTTTTCAAAGGGGTACACATTGATTCATACCAAAATAGTTGAAACAAATTTGTTGAGGAAGATGACCTGGATGCATCCCACAGTCAGTGTGATGGCAGTGTCCACTTGAGACATGTCAAGATATGCATTTCCTTCAGTGGCATCGGTGTAATTCACCATGTGAAAGGCGAACACTTCCTTGTCTGCTATAGATACAGCCTAAGTGATGAGAAACAACAGTGTTAAGCCACTTTGTTAACAGCTATGTTACACTGGTAAGATGATGTTTTACACTTGTTTAGACTGCCGTACCTTCTTGTAAATAGCATCTTTGTCACAATCAAGGACCACAATGTTCTTCAGATTAGTCAGAATCTCCATCTCCTTCTTCCGCCATAGAACCTCGGAAAAAAGTCCTGGACAGTTGAGAAAATAAAAACTTTTTTACACTTTCACACATTAAGTGACAGCAATGAACAAAACAAAACATTTTTTAAAGGAGACAAAATAACACCATACCTTCAATACAAATCTCAGAGATACTGGCTCTCTGTCCTCTGATGAAGATTTTCAGAGAGCGGAGATCAGCCTTGACCCGGAGATTCACCACATCTGAAAACTTGGAACTTCTTGTACCTGCAGAACAAGATGAAACACCACATTATTTCAAATTGGGAAAGACATTTCTCAAGAGGGTCAGATGCAAGATAACACTTTTAAAAGACTATAGATGTTTTAATTACTTTTCTTCTTGGCCACAGCAGCCATTTCCTTCTTCTCTTCCTTCTTCTGCCCCTCGACCACATCCTCCTCAGGAATTGTTTGAGGCTCCTCCTGCTTCTCCTCTTCCTTCTTGGATGCAGGAAGCAGGTTCATGAGGAAGTTCATGGTGTTGAGCAGGGCTTCCGTGTGTAGATGAATATCAAGGGATGAAAACGTCACCTAGAAATATGTAAGTTATAGAAGAGTTAATCACTGTCTTTATTAGGTACACCTCATTTGGTAGAAACAGTAAAACCAAATGTTAGTTTCTGGTTAAACAACGTCCTCACCTTGATGAGCTGCTCTGTATTGTTGTGTTGGAACCTGAAGTCTGGACCTTTCTTGTCTGCCTGTGTATGACATGCAATGGTTTATTAGTCATGTTGTATTGGTAAACTTAACAATCCACAAAGGATATTTCTCAGAGAAAAAGTACTACACATACTTTGACATATTCAAGTATGAGCAGGTCATCCTCTGCATTATCAAGAGTAGTTATGAGCTGAACCTGCTTATCTTCAGAGTCTGGAGAGTTAGCAAACAAATTAAGTCAAGATTATTAAAAGTTTCAGACATGGATTCTTCTTACAAAAATTAATATCTATAAAACCATCATCTGTGCAAAATGAACTAAGGTATGACAGCCATATCAGAATCCCCTCACCGGTATATTCAGGACATTTGAGGCAGATCTCTCGAAGGTACGTGTTTGATGTCATGTCAAACGTGCGCACCTTAAGCTCTGTGCCCAAACCCTCAATTTCCAGGTCAAGGACTGGGATCTCCTTACTATCAGAGAGGCGGCACAACTGAACAAAAAACTAGATGAACAAATAAAACAAAAAAGAGTGGTAGAAAAGAGATAAAGAAAGCAGAGTAAAGATATGGTTGTGCGAATTAGGATGAATATCAAGAGGAAGAAAATTTCAATAGAGTCACTTAACTGGATAAATTATTTTTTGAATCATAAATTATATCAATGAAAAATCTTGACCAAACGATGGATGACAATGAAGTTTATTCATCATCCAATATTAAAAATAAGACTATTAACGACCTTCTCTGCATCAACACTTTAATTAAATAATATTACTATAATAATACTGAGATGTCACAAACAATAACAAAATTATTAAAAAGGCCACAGGAAAAACAATATTTTGTAATACCTCACTTATTTCAAACTCCATTAAAAAATCAGTCATGTTCTTTGGAGCATCATCCTTGGCCACACTTCTTCTATGCAAGTCTGCATACCGCAGTGGCATGGGGTTGTCAGGGAAGAAGGGTTGGTCAGCAATGGGGGAGGTGGGAGCATCATAGAATAAATCCTCCTCTGACCCTGAACATGTATAAACACAGAGAGAACAAAGCCATCACTTAATTTTAGATAAAACACAGTCCAATGTAGGGCAGTTATTACAATGATTGTGTACAGTATTAGGCCTGCGTCTTACCTAAAGAAGTGAGGCTGATGGTCTCACATGACTCAAACATGAGTGAGGCCCGTTGGTCAGCTCTGTTCAGGGGTCGTCTAGGGGTCAGCTGAAGCGGGAAAGCCTGCTTAGACTGAAAAGGGAGATACAACCAACAGACCAGTAACCAGTAAATATTACAGTACTGAGAGCCACAGCTTCAATAGCTATTCATTTAAACTCAATATATTTAACCCCCCATGTGAAAGAAAGTGATTGCTGTTCTTGCCTTTGCAGCAGTGGCCTGAGTCATTGTGGACGGAGTGCTGGAGCGAGCGGCAGGTTTACTCTTAGGTAGTGGTATACTGTGCACCAGCTCCAGAACGCTTCGAAGTTTATTATCAGAAATACGCAGAGATAGCAGAGGAAGTTGTCCAGACATTTTATACCTGAAACACAGATGGAAACTCTAAGCACTTTTCTAACATGATCCCACCAGCTTAACTTTAATCTGCAATTATTACTCCAAAATAACAGTCAGTCAAATTCCCAGAGGAACCACATGGTTGATTGTTACTCAAGCATTGCTACTCGGCTGCTAAATGCATAAATGTAAATGCATGCAAAATGTAAATGTAAGTAAAGTAGTTAGATAGAACTGTCTTAAGTTGTTCACTCTAATTATGTGTCAATATTGACTAATTGTATTAGTCAATATGAAAGCTGTAACGCAGGTTTTCATATTGTACATATTTTTAAAATGTTAAAAATAGGTAATCTCTGCTCATACTTTGCCATACGAGAATCCTTGACAACCATTGCTCTGCTGAAAATCACATTGACATCCACTGGCTCTAAGATATGCATGTGTGACTTCTTCTCCTTGCGAGCCTTTTTCCAGTCACCATCTACCAAAACGCAAATAACATGCATTACCATTTAACAGGTATGCATACAGAAAATCACACAGTATTTCGCAGTATTTCATTTCATGTTAACAAGTGGGTGCTGTCGTTTGTTCACCTGGTTTGCTGTAGAGGAACTGCAGACTTGTGAGTTGAATATTAAAGCTGTCGTAAGCTCTGGAGATGATGTCTTCAATGTTGCTGGAAGTGGCTGACAGCTGTGGTAGATCCTCCTTGCTCTGACTGGATACCTAGAAAAATATTTAGGTTTTATAGAATTTGGTGTTTGTATTGTTACAACATAGCCAAAATACCACTGCTATCTGGACCGAAACCTTCCTGACCTGGAAATGTCCAAGGTCCAGCAGCAGGATGTTCTGGGTACCATTGTAAAAGCCCGTCTGTGGAATGATGACGTAGGAGGCCTTCAAGTTCACCTTCATGTCCAGAACCTTCTGTGTTTCGATCACATACATCAAACCTACAAATTCAACAGAACTAACTTAGCAAATGTAACCAAAGATGTACAAGTATTAGATCACTGTAATTTTGTTTCTAGTGTCTCTTCTTGTGTTTGTCCTGTCCTGTCTACACATGGGACAGTGAGAAACGTAATTTCGATTGCTTTGTATGTTTAGTACATGTGAAGAAATTAACAATAAAGCTGACTTTGACCTTGTGGATAGTTCAATCATAAGGAGTTATTAGAGGGCAAGTTTATTTTGTATTTAATACTTAGGAAATTAGTTATCCCCTCCTTAATCCGCAACCTTAACGTGGTGGGGTTTGAGTATCCAAATGAACCTAGGAGCTATGTTGTCAGGGGCTTTCCCAAGGCAAACAGGTCCTAGGCGACGGATCAGACTAAGAGCGGTAGGCCCACCACCCGCAGGAAGGCCTACAAGGGGTCACTGCCAAATGGTAGTGCAGAGTACCCAGCCTTCTTGGTGGCACTGGGAGGGGTACTGGAAAGTGCTCCTACCGGGGATTCCATCGTCCTGTTGGGGAACTTCAACGATCACATGGGCAATGACAGTGTCACCTGGAGGGCCGTGATTGGGAGAAATGGCCTCCCTGATCTGAACACGAGTGGTGTTTTGTTATTGGACTTCTGTGCTAGCCACAGTTTGTCCATAACAAACACCATGTTCAAACATAAGGGTGTCCATCAGTGTCCATCATTTGGCACCAGGACACCTTAGGCCAGAAGTCAATGATCGACTTTGTAATCATGTCATCTGACCTCAGGTCATACATCTTGGAGACTCGGGCAAAGAGAGGGGTGAACTGTCAACTGATCACCACCTGGTGAGTTGGATCCGCTGGCAGGTGAAGCTGAACAGACCTGGCAGACCTGTATCATGAGGGTCGGTTGTGAGCGTCAAATAGAATCCCTTGTAAGGAAGGCCTTCAACTCCCACTTTTGGAAGAGCTTTGACTAGGTGCCAAGGGAGATTGGAGACATTGAGTCCGATTGGACCGTGTTCTCCTCTTTCATCGTTGCCGTGGCTGTACGAAGCTGTGGCCGTAAGGTCTCTTGTGCCTGTCGTGGCAGCAATCCCTGAACACCAGGGGCAAGGGAGGCCGTCAAACAAAAGAAAGAGTCCTACCAAGCCTGGTTGGTTAGGGGGACTCCTGAGACAGCTCACAGGTACAGGCAGGCCAAGCGGACTGCAGTTTGGGTGGTCGTGGAAGCAAAAACCCGAGTCTGGAAAAAGTTCGGGGAGCCATGGAGGAAGACTATTGGTCGGCCTTGAAGAAACTCTGACAAGGGTGTGCACCAACTACCGAGGTATAACACTCCTCAGCCTGCTGGGGAAAGTCTATTCCAGGGTACTAGAGAAAAGAATTCAACCAATAGTTGAACCTCTGATCCAAGAGGAACAATGTGGTTTTCGTCCTGGCCGTGGAACACTGGACCAGCTCTATATCTTCCACAGGGTGCTCAAAGGTTCATGGGAGTTTGTCCAACCAGTCCACGTGTGTTTTGTGGACTTAGAGAAGGCTTTTCCATGGTATCCCGTGGGGGTGCTTCAGGAGTATTAGGTCCGGGGCGCTCTGATAAGGGCTGTTTGTTCGGTGCAGCAGATGCAGTAATGCGGTTGCCGCATTGGTCTGTTGTGGTGATGAAGGAGCTGAGCCTAAAGGCAAAGTTCTCGATTTACCGATCAGTACATTCCTACTCTCACCTACAGTCAAGAACTCTGGGTCATGACCAAAAGAACTAGCCGCCTTAGGAGGGGATACAAGCGCAGATACAAGCGGCTGAAATGAGCTTCTTTCGCAGGGTGGCAGGTGAGGAGCTCTGTCACCCGAGAGGAGCTCAGAGTAGAGCCGCTGCTCCTTCACATTGAGAGAAGTCAACTGAGGTGGCTTGGACATTTACATCCAAGATCCAGGACACACTGGAGCGACTATGTCACTCGGCTGGCCTGGGAACGCCTCGGGATCACCCCAGAAGAGCTGGAGGAAGTGTCTGGGGAGAGGGGGAGAGTGAAGTCTGTGCGTCCCTGCTCCGACTGTTACCCCGGCGACCCGGCTGTGGATAAGTGGAGGATGATTGATGGATTGATGGAAATTACTTAATATTAAATTTTGGCGCTTTGTAAATAATTCTACAACTGAAAGGTGACTGACACAGTTCCTAAATAAACTGTAAGAATGATTAAAATTGTTGATGACTTGACTGAAGTTTTGAAAGCAACTGTTAATGTGTTCTACAAGCCACCATCAAGATGAATAGTACATTATTTATTCCATCAGAGATTAGACAAGTTTGAAATGTCTACAATTTACTTCAATTAATAATGTTTAAAGATAATTAACCCAGAGCTTCACTCTGATAAATGTAATTTAAAATCTAAATAAAATAGTTCCCAGCTGTATCCTGTACATGCTTGCATGAGTCATATACCAGTGGATGTGCGGTCTCTAAACTCCTCCAGTTTAATGAGTGTGGCATTGGTGAGCTCATCTAGCCGCAGGTCATCAGGAGGCCTGAAGAATGCTGCCATGCTGTTTACTGTTATCTGTACACAGACCACAAGAGTTATTGACTTTCTCCGCTCGTGTTTTTCTGTTAATGCATGCCAATGCCACTTACTGCATCATAGATGATTTCCAGAGGTTGTGATTCCACATGCAGCCGCTGGTCCGCCGTCTCGTCTAACGGGTTAGTCTCAAACAGAATAGAAAGCAGTGGACTTCCTGCTCCTGTGGATGCTTTTCGTGACGAAAGAAGAGTTGGAGCTGGGTGATTACTGGCCAGACCTGTGATCTCAAACAGGGTCAGCTGTGATGTGATCCTGACATGAAGAAAAGGACAAGGAACAAATTACTTTTTAGGAACTATTTTGTACATCACTAATTATTCACTATTTGTTTCACATTGACTTGTGACCAAACACCTATTAAACAGCTACAATATAATACAATACATTAGAATAAAGCAAAGAGAGGGACAAACTTGATGGCTTGTGCTCCAGGCCTCTGTGTGAGGGTGGACTTGAGATCTGCTACAGTCAGCCTGATGATCTCATCTTTGTCCCTGCTGTCTTTAATGGACACTGACAGCCTCTCCATATGGAATTTAATCTTTGTGTTCTCAAACTAAAGAAAAGAGCAGTATGGAACATCAGCAAAGAATACAATGGCCTTAAATTGTGTTTAGAGTAATAAAGATCGAGGTAGGTAGATTTACTGAAATGAGAGGGTTTAATACACATGTGCCACAGTGGGAGTACACTTACATTCTTTGGCAGGTTGGGATTTATGGCAGTCTCACTGTAACCAATGGCAGTGTAGAGTTTGGCTTTTTCATCAGAGGTAAAGAGTCCATCAAAACCTAAATGACATAAGCAATAGCTGGCATCATCAGAAATCAACAAACAAACCCCAGCTTCTTACTTCTTTAACCCTATGTAAACACTCCTTGCTGTGTTCACCCCAAAATCTTCTTTTTCATATCCTACCTGTAGTTTTGACATCTTTTGTTTCTTTATCTGCTTCTTGTCCCCAGTTCCACATCCAGCTGAGCCAACCCTGAGACTTCTCCTCCTCCATCTTAATGCCAGGACGGAAAATGCGCAGCCCTGCCTTACTCGCCTGAGAATTAAAAAAAAAGAATTGTTACAAAGTAAAAGAAAAGAAAACAATAGTACAGTGACACTATTCCAGAGACAAACAACATAACAGTTAAAGTCAAAGTCAGCTTTATTGTCAATGTTTTCACGTGTACTAGACATACAAAGGAATCAAAATTAGAAATTCTCACTGTCTGATGTGTAGACAAGACAGGACAAACATTTATGTGCACAGGCCCAACAAACATTATGTTACAGCAAACAGTGGGATAAATATGTCTTGACTTATGACTACAATATACAATACCATAACGCAGGTAAGGATGCTCAAAATGGTGACTATGGATCAGTTTACCTCGACTTCAGCCTGCTGTCTGGCCAACGTGATGTTAAAAAGGTCCAGGGATCGCTCAGGCTCCTGATAACAGGAATGTGACACAAATTGATTCAGGCTTTCAGCAGCTTCATGTTGCTCTATAAGTTTCTAAATCCATTATCACACACATCATTATGTGCACAGTGCATCTAGTGTGTTTTCCTGTGTTACAATATCCACAAGCAGCTGTGTGCATTTGATTCTGCTATGAGCTTGAACTGCTATTAGTTTTCCTTTTTGTATTATATACACCATAAACTAATACCCAGTCTGTATTATTTAGAAAAACTCTAACCTGTAAATAAATAAGCAGAAAATATTGCAAATGCAGAAATGTTCCTTTAAAGAGTAACCCAAAAACAACTCTAAGCTTTACTGTTTATTGAAATAAATAGTGCTATGAAATCACAATCACATTCAAGTTGTGAAGCTGAACTGGATAATTAAGACAGCAATAACTGCAGTCAATTGTCTAACTAGTAAAAAAGAAAGCACATAAATACTAAAGGAAAGCCTACAGCTGTATAAGTGGAAATTGAGAAATGGATCAGAGACCACTTCTCATCAACAGGATAGGTCTTTTCTAACATAATTTTGCCATTTGATAACAAAAAACTATCTTATTTCTTTCAGTCACTTACACACCTCCAGCATGAGCAGAAGCTCCTCACTGGGATTTTTACTGGTAAGCCTCATCTTGTAGAGCTCCCTGTAGTGCTTGACCTTCTGTCTGTGCTGGCGAATGTGCTCCCATGACCACATATGTAGACGGGGCTTCACATCAACTTCCAGGGTGCCTGTGATTACATAGTTCCACCTAAAACACACACTTAGAATAAACTTAAGCTGCTCAATGCTATTAAAACATGTAGAATTCAAGTGAAAATATAGTGGTGTTTTCAGACCATATGCAAGCGTTGTTGTGAACATTGACCACAGGTCTGTACTTCCTGTACGGAAGGTTCCTGGACATCATATCCACTGAGCCCAATACCTCCAAGATGCTGATGTACTGGAAACAGAGGAAGTCATTGTTTACCAAGAGGCAGAGCAATACACAGATAATTCCATTTGAACAAACATTTCTCTCACTTGTTATTTTTGTTTGGCTGAAGCCTCACTTCAATACACTCTGTCTACAGAAACACAGTTCTACACAGCAATCAAACACTAACCTGGGGTCTGTTGAGTTCAAAGTCCACTTCACTCAGATGAACCATAAGATCCAACTTAGGAGAAGAGTGGTCTATATCTGACCTGGGGTTCATGCACAGTTTAGCATCGGCAGAGATCGGACGGAAAACTGTGAATAATCAGAACATTTTAGTCTATTTAGTTAGTCTATTTTTAAGGTTTATTTAAGTGGAGATTTTCAATCTGGCAACATTTTTCATGCTACAGACCTTTTTTAAGAGCAACGTATTATAAAGGCTAAAATAAATAATTTAGTCATGTGAGTAAAAGTCAAAAAATGATCACACAGAATCACACTTACTGAAGTCAACGCTGCCCAGAAGAGAGTGTCGAACATCCATGGTGCTTTGGAGACACCGCTGTAGAAAACAGAGAGGTTTAAGTGTCTGCTTTGACTTTATTGTCTTCACCCCAAGGGTCCCTGTAACTTTAGAACAGCAGGATCTGTTCCGCTACTTTTATTATTATTATTATTATTATTATTATTATTATTATTATAAACATACACAGCACAACTACATGTTGCATCTAACACTACTGATTTTACTACTTTTTTGGCCTTGTGTTGTTGATATAAACTCAGTGTAATATTGACTGTAATTAAATTCCGTCGGCAATTAAAACACCAAATTTTCTAGCCATCAATGCAACCCTACAGTCTCTGTCAGCCACTCTGTTCCATTACATCAAATCCTAAATAAATCCTAAATAAATTATCCATCCATTTTCATCCACTTATCCTTGGTACGGTGCAGTGTGAACTGGGTGTCGGTAATGGAGACTGCTGTCCCCACCTAAATAAAATTGTTTTGTGCACAAAGAATAATGAGGTTGTGTCTGAATCTAGCTTTGGGAACAATTCCATATTTGTGGAGTAAGACAAGATACCACACATTAACAAAAGGGTGACTCACCAAGGCCTCCTCAGCGCTGTGGTTGGAGAAGATGGTCGAGTTAACATTCCAGTAGGCAAACAAACTGTCCAGACGAACCAACTGCAGGAAAGTAAATCAACCAGGATAATTTGAGCATGGCGATAACTACACTGCCTAAGGACATCTCTTAGTAAAGGGAATTTCTTACCTTGAAGAAAAGCTTGGCACTCTCATTCAGAAGACTTGGATTCCAGTTCTTATCGGCTGTCTATGAAGAACATACAAACAGGTCAATATTTATTTTTCTGTCACATAAATTACATAACCGTAATTATTATATAACAAGTAATTCTGCTGCTGCTTTATTTAGCATGTGATTATGTTTTAATAAACACATTACCTGAAGGCTGAGGTTTTTAAGTGATACTCCAAACGACAAAGGACACTTTGGATTGGTGATCTGTCCAAACAAACAGGGATAAATCAGGATAAATAACAGATAAGAGTTTACTCATAGACAGCTCATGTTAAATGAACTGAACACTTGCTACTTCAGTACTCACATCATCTTCATAGCGCACATGAATGTTGGAGATTTTGACCTGCAGGTTTTTGATGACCTGAGTGACCAGTTTCTCCACAAAGGTGTCCTGCTTCTCTAACGTTAGGTTCTCTGTCCAACATAAACACAAGTGCAGCCAGAGCTAATGAGATTCATCAAATTCTTCTTCTACAGCAAGACATCTCCATTTTATGCTATTTTCTGCCTAAAGTGCCTTAAATTTCGGTGAATTTCTGAGGGCATATTTACACTTCTGTCTAGTGAAGAATGTTTGTATATGTCAGGGGTGTCAAACTAATTTTAACCAGGGGCCACATCAGCAATACAGTTCCCCTTGAAAGGCCTGTAGTAAATGGCAGACTGCATAGATCAGGGATCCCAAACCCCAGGTCCACGGACCAGTATCCATAGGTCATTTGGTAGTGGGCCGCAGTAGGACGCAGTGAACAAATGTGCTTATTTTTACTAATTTACTCAAGTCAATGAATATGCAGTCATATCCATTTATTTTCTTTATTTAAAGATAATATTTTAAAATAATAGGTCATGGGTAACAGGTAGTACTAGCTGACCAGTCCTTGGAACACAAAAGGTTGGGGACCGATGGTATAGATGTAACTACTCCATATGACTAATACATGTTTCTGCAATTGAATATTAGTTATTCAAACTAAAAATAGTGTTCAATGCTGTGTAATTAAAAAACTTTTAGTTTCTTAGGTTAAGAAACTCTGCTGCATTGACTTAATTAAATGCTCTTTAAGGTGGCTGGGCGCCTACTAAACGGCTTGGCAGGCCTCATTTGGCCCTCTGGGCCTTGAGTTTGACACATATGGTTTATATACTGGCAATTTATTGATGATTTTCTCAGAACATTAATTAAAATATTTTGTAGAAAAATTTAGATTCTTTAAAATGTCATTCATCAAAAACATGTAATACTGTATACATATTCATATACATGTTAATAAAACAAGAAAATGATCAAAATATCCTGATTAATTGAATACACATATGGCATTTATTAATGCTTTAACATATTTGTCGCAGAATGGCGATGATGTTATGATATTCGAATAACTTTTGGCTTGCTTATAAATTATATATATATTATTATATTTATATATTATTATATTATATATTTATTTTTTATTATTTACTGATATGAAGTAAATACAAATGCAAAGTTGTTATTAAAAAGTTTACATTAAGTGATAGTCTGTAGCACTAACAATGATAATAAATTTAACAGAAAACAAACAGTGATAGTTCTGTTTGCAAAAGACCCAAAGAGAAACAACAAGGTCTTTTCAGTTTGGAAAAACGAGTAGAGAGTAGATGACTGGAAGAATTTCCCTTCTTCCCTGCAGCAGCCACTTTAAATAACCATGTTAGCTGCTGGGTCCCATGACATAAAGTGAGTTCTTTTCACTTTCTCTGAAACTGGTAATAAGGTGAGCATTCAGTAGTACTCAGTGAGTATAAAATCCTTGCTTCTAATCTGTGGGAAAAATGAATAAATACCAACATGTTTACACACACACACTCTGTGAACCCTAACCTTGTTCAGCAGCCTTGAGTTTTGTCTCTTCTATCCGCTGCAGCTCCCTCTGACGTGCCTCGTGGGCCTGTTTTTCCTCCTTTTCTGCGTCGTACCTTATACCTGCAGAGAATAGGATCAATGATGATGATTATGGAAGCAATGAGACACACAGGACGTCAGGCTTGTGTTTCCTGTTTGTTCTGACAAGTGCTTAAGTACTCATAAATAAGTCAAAGATGTGCTTAGTATTTGATACAAGCAGTTTACGTCAAATGACTGAACTGTATAACCTGATAACATCTGCTGTTCAAAAGGTAAACTTGAAAATCATATCAATCATTTAAAATGGTATATATAACACATTAAAAAAGGCAGAGATTAGCAGAGAAGTAATCCAGTCATTCTTACTTGTAGTCCTTGATTTTCATTTGATTAACAGAAGAACTTTGAGAAGCACTTATCTATCTTTAATAATAATTGATTGAGTCGGAAACATATGCTTCTCTTACTGGCTGTGGGCACAATGAGCAGGTAGACACCATCCAGTGTGGCCTCCACTGATTGGGTGTAGAGGTTCTTCCATGGAATCTTGAGCTCTAGCTTCCCTGCAAACAGAAACATGGGACGAGTAAATTACTTTTGGATGTCAAAGGTCAACTTGTAAATCGATACAGTGCCTTCAATCTCACCTATATGTCCTGCCCTCACTTTGAAAGGAATGTCAAGCTCACTCTGCAACAACATCAGAATACGTTACTGAAACATCAAATGGGCATGGCAGCCAATGTTACAAAGTCACTTACACATTTGTGGAAAACTTACCAGGGCATTTTCCTTTATTTCAAGATTTGTAAGAATGGCGTCGCCTGTAATGACACATCATCAGTGCTTTATACTAATCGTTAATACCGTCACAAGACAAACAGATGTGTATTGTATATTGTACCTGACAGAAGGATATAAAATACAATCTTTGGTCTTTTGTACATTCACTTAATTCAACACTCAGACCATTGAAAGACATACATTATTTAAGAACTTCCTGACTCACACATCATTACTACAAGCCCTAAGAGATTCAACCGAGCAGCATCAGTGAATACAGATGGAAAAAATATTAGCGTCTCTGCGCAAGTTAAATTCTTTTTCAGGAATTTCTCATTGTTTATTTTGCAAACAAGAAAACAACTAAATAATTATTCAAATAAGGACATAAGGATAAGGATAAAGAGCTGCACAGTCAGTCATTTGCTATTTTGAGGTTTGTCTTGAGACAGAAAAGTCATAACTGGATGAGTGGAATCGAAATTTCAAACAAGATTGCACAGAGTGCAAAAAAAACTAAACTAAATTCCTG